AGAAAGAGAGAGAGAGAGAGAGAGAGAGAGAGAGAGAGAGAGAGAGTGTTCTCGCGGAGTGTCGGAGGACGGGACGAAAGTCGAGGAGACGTTCCACGACGAAACGAAAGATCGGCTAAGAGAACTGGAGCTGGACGAGTCGGAACATGTCGGGAACCTTTTGATAATGATTGTAGAGACCGGGTAGGAGCTGAAAAGCCCATGCGGGAACAGGTTGCGCCGTGAGCGCGCTCCGACCAGCGGATAACACAGCCCTGGCTGCGCCGCTAACGTTCCCACCCGAGCTGGACGTCGAGCTGGACGCGGTGGTGGTGCCAACGGCTGTGCCGCTGGTTGGGATTGCGCCGATTCTGTCGCTACTTTCGGTTCCGGCCTCAGCTGCCGCCCCAGTCCCAGCGCCGGACACGCTGATACCGTTATCTTTAGCTTTTGCGGGTTGCTGCTGTTGTTGCTGCTGCTGCTGCAGTTGTTGCTGTTGCTGCGGCTGTTGCTGCGGTTGCTGTTGCTGCTGGCCCGAAGACGCTTCCCGCCTCTTTAAACCCCGCAGAAGCTCCTTTTTCAGGGCGCTGTTGACGCCAACGAACTAATGGACGGGCCGTGCGTGAAACATCGACACACAGATATTCACACTGAGATGGAACTACTGTTCGATACAGATGGTACGCACCTACTGTCAAGAGATTTACACGCGATTCCAATCTAAACCGTCGATTCAAAGGGTTTCCCGTGCCTCTCAACACGTCCCTCCCGTCTTAGGCATCTAATCACTTGTCGCTCGCGGTTCTTTTGGATTGCTGATTACCAATGCTACTCAGTGGCGGCTCGTAGCTAGTTAGGGGCTGCTACGGAGAATCTTTAGCTTTCTGATGTTTCTTCAGAAACTGTGAGATGGCTGTTATTAACATTTTTCACTTAGCAACGTGTTGCCTTTTATTCTGTTTATATTTTCTCTTGTTGTTTAGTAAGTGTCTTGAAGTCGGATTGCAGTCCATCAAATGTCCTTGTTTTTACAAAACCAGTTTCAATCCGAATTAATTGAATGAGTTCAATTGAAGATAATGGAGGAGGTTGTAGTCATAGTTCTTTTCAGGCGGTCTAAGTGTTAAGCTTAAGGATTGTATATTGCACAAGTGTAAATTCAAGAAAAAGCACTCGTATTAACCTAATTACAACCGTCAATTCGATGAATTATATCGGAAACGGTCGCTCGTCGACTTTTATCAAGACTGCGTCGATGTTGAGAACGTCACATTCTCCTCCTATTTCTTTTGTTTTGCAACGCCAAACAGTTCATAATTATTCCTACTTCTCTTTGCTGCAAAAGACAAGCTCTACGGGAAAACGCTTAAGATTTTCGTGGCGCTTAACGTGTTAAAAAGGGATGAATGTTAAATTCTGTTGAACGCGAGCCGCCACTGCTACCGCTGTTAGCTACCACCAGCGTCATTATCGGCGCCGACAACGTTCCCCGGTAATTATTCTCTTATTAGCGGCGTTTCTCCTCTCGTACGGCAAGACCGGAAGAGACACGAGTCCGGGGAGAGGCAACGTGAATCGGAGATTAAGACGGGGAGAGACAGAGAGCGTGACTCCGCGGCGAAACGAGATGAGGCGACGCGAAGGCGATGCATGACAGAAATGAAATTTGATGAGCATGGAAACATATCATCCGCGGAAACCGTCGGCGACGCGGAGCGATTAGAATGCCGAAAAGACGGCCGCGAATCGGAGACTCTCACCTTTCGACTGAAGTCGGCGAAATAGTTATACGTCTTCAGATAGGTGCCCAACGACAGAACGTTGCATCTCTCGCAGCTGTGCTTGCAGGTGCGTTCCATCAGTCTCAGCACGTGCAGAAAGTCCTCGGCGACGTAGTGGTCCTCCTCCAGGAAGAGCACCATACCGGTATGGTTCCTCGTGATCGACAGTTGATCGAACACGCGGTTCGCCTTCCACCACCAATGATGCTTCGTCTGCGTGAACTTCGACTCCCTGTAGTGGCCGTACAGGTCGGGGTGCTTCGCGTTCACGCAACCGATGTCTAAGGCCCTGCGAGCACGGAGTAGGAAATAGATCTCAACGTCGACAGTCGTTAACCTTAGTGACGAAAGTAAATAGTACGCCAAGGGGTTAACAATCGTTAACCCTTTGCGCTCGAGAGGTGACCCTCAGTCACCACTAGATTTGCTATAGCATATTAATATTATTATTTTGTATATCTCAATTTTTTGTCATCAATTTGTAGAAAATGGAATAAAATAGTTCACAACGCCAACGAATTCTCCATGAAAAAAATACTGACAACAAATAACAACAATCACGAAGGAAATCGTCCAAAGCCAAACTACCCCAAGCAAGTTCACTCAAAAAAATCGATTCTACGTGTGTTCTACGTCTATGCTTGTAGTATAATGAACAACAGAGTATTTCATTTGAATTTCATTTGAAACGCAACCATAGATTCTGTTTGGCAAGTCGAGCTCTCTTATCAGTGTCGCAGAAAGTCATCACACGATTCTCCAAGAGAGACCAATCAATCAGCCACGAAGAATAAAGAAGTTACTCACTGTTCCTTGCGAATGTTCCGCGGACAGTCGTTGGGATCCTCGCCAGGGAACGAATGGGGGTGAGTTTGTATGCTGTGGGGGTAAAAGATCTGCATCACGCGGCAGAAGTCGACGCTCTGCACGAGATAGTTGATGTCCGGGTGCCAGACGTCATGGCTGAAGACGAGGAGGGTTTGCTCGATGTCTTTGGCCCGCGCCAGCGACACTATCAGATGCCTCAGATACGTCAGACGCGTGTGCACTTGGACGACTATCACGGGCGCGTCGTTGGCCAACGGGCCGAACGCTTCTTCATTGTACACCCTCTGCTCGGCGTTCGCTTTCTCGATGTTACGTCGGATCTCAGCTATCTCGTATTCCGTCAGGGTCTCCGAGCTCGCGTTGGCGGACGCGGACGAGCCGTTCCGACGGTCCTTGAGAAACCTGCGACAGTTTCGCTCGTTTCCTTAACACGTTGAATGCCGGGCCATTTTTCTTAAGACTTTCCCTTCAGCGGCGTATACGACCCACATTTTTATAATCAATTAAAATTAAATATCCGCAGTATGCATGATATTAACATATCTATCTTTGACTCTACAATAAGTTTTTAAAAAGTTCTTCGTTTTTCAATGAGAATTCATTTTTGTGGAAAAAATTTAGGTGGAAAAACCTCTGGTTCTGCGAGCAGTAAAATCGAAAAATGGAGCGTGTGCTCGTCGAACGCAGTTAAACTCGTTATTTCATATCGAGAGAAGCCAAGCAACGCGACAGCGCTTGTTTTAACCTTTGAACTCTGTAGGCTCTAATATTGCAGCGGTTGCAATATTAAATATTTCAATGAATCTTAAAGAAACTACTGTACAATTATTAGATTTCACACATCCAAATTTTGCATTGAGAAGGAAAATAAAAGATCTGAGAAATGTTATAGCATCAATTTTCGCTAGGGATACCATAAAAATTAGTTGCAGTTGCTAGATTACACAACAATCTGGAGTTCTAAGGGTTAAAATATACTCCACATTCGCCCTTCGTTCGACGAGTACTCGATTTTCCGATTTCCTCTCAGAACCAGAGGTGTCTCCACCTAAATTCCACAGTTAACTGTTTAAACACCATAGTTCCCATCGATCCTCTTCCGCTCAATCATTCCACGACTTCGCGATTCACTCTTGACCGATCGCAACGCGATCCTCGCTACCTCCATTCTCCATTCCTCGATCAGCCCATCGATCCATTTACCTGTGCAGCTCTTGCGGTACGAGGGCGAACAGCGTTTCGTTCGAGGAGGCCTGCCCGGCGGAGTCGCGGCTGGTCAGGCTGATCACGTGCAGTTGAAGCCAAAGAAAGGTGGCGAGAAAAACGACGACGAGCGTTCTCAGAAAAGTTCCACGGATCGATCTGATTCCACCTCCGAGCAGTGTCCCTCCTGAAAGCCGTGCGCGATACGGTAACCGGGCAGAATCCGCTGCGGCCTACTCACCTCTCATCCTGACATTCCCAGGGGGTCGTTCCGCGATAAGTTTGTCTCCACGAGCTCGAGTCCCTGTCTCCGTCCTCTGCTCGCCGCGAGGCTGTCCTCTCCGCTGATTCGTGGCCGGGGAAATTGCTGTCGTTCCGGCAGCTTCGCGTCGCCCATCCTTGGAAGTTCGCGTTCTCGCGTGGCGCGCGGCTGCAGGCGAATCTCACCTTACCTCGATTCGGCGAGAGGAGGCGGCGGACACCTTCTCATGTCGGCGTCAGAGCCTGCAAACAGAGAACACCCTCGTTTTACACCTCAGCGTCGAACAAACGCTGAGAGAACGGTTCGAAATATCCGTCAATCTGTTCCGTTGCTCTCTACTTCCATTTCATCCGAGTCCGCCGAGAGATTCCGGGTCTGCTCTTCCTGTTGGACGGCGAACACGCTCGACGCGTGTATTTTTAGTCCGGCACGCGGACTCGCGCAACTTTAGAATGGGACGATCGAGATCAGCGGCGCTTCGGATCGACTCGAAACGTAGATCTTCCGACTGCGTCGCGATAACCCTTGATCTCGGAACGTTACCGCCGCGACGAGCTGCCGGCGGAACAGTCTCGTCGCGAGTAGGTGTTAGGAGAAATTCGCGTTAGAGCGGAATCGCCTCGAAACGTAGATCTTCCGACTGCGTCGCGATAACTCTTGATCTGGGAACGTTCGCGTCGCGACGAGCCAGCGGAACAGTCTCGTCGCGAGTCGGTGTTAGGATGAACTCGAGTCGGAGCGGAATCGAGGGAAGGAACGGCGAGGATGACGACGACGACGCTGACGACGTAGGACGCCGGCGAGTACAATTAGGTGGAGAGCGGCGGCGAAAGAAGCGCGGCGTCGTCGATACCTCTTGGCCACGGACGAGATCGCTTGCAGTTTCCCGTAGACGAGCATCGAGTGGCCCGATATACCATTTCGCTTCGTGCCCGCGCAATCTAGGTCAGCTGACTTGCTCGCTGGTTGACGCGAAACAATGCGGATATCCGCGGGAACGACAGCCAACCACAACGATATCTTGCCGCCGCGGACTGAAGAAACGGGACGGCTAGATGCCCGCGAGCGGGCGGGAGAAGGAGGCCGCGAGGTACGAGGGTGGAGGAACGGGAGGAAGGGTGGTCGAGAACCCGAACTACTCGACGCGAGCGGCTCGAGCCGCGATAAAACTCTTTAACCTTTTTGTTTTCCTTCTTGCTCACGGCCCACCGCGTCTTTCGAGGATCTTTCGGGACACGCTAGCGTTATTGGCGACACGCGTCCTTTCTTTGCCGTCAGGTGGATGTCTTGGTCGTTGGTTTCTCGTAAATTAAGAAGCGTGTAGCTTGTTCTCGTGAGTTCTAGTCGAAAACTCATCGGTTGCTAATTGCGCGATGAAACTATTGAATTTTTTGGCCTTTTTTCTTGATCGCGTTCTTGGCGACACGCGTCCTTTCTTTGCTTCGTCAGTTTCACGTCTAAATCACTAATTGCGCGATGAAACTATTGAATCTTCTTGTCTTCCTTATTGCTCGCGTTCTTAGCGACACGCGTCCTCTTTTTGCTTCGTCTACTTGACGCTTAGGTCATTGCTTCCTCGTAAATTAACCCTTTGAGCTCTGTAGGCTCCAATATTGCACCAGTTCTAATATCAAATATTTTCATGAATTCTAAGAAAACTACCTTAAGATTATTAAATCTTCCAAATGTACAAAGTTTGTACTAAGGGAATTAAAGGTCTATGAGATGTTACAACATTGTTAATTTTCACTAGACACTACTATCAAAATTGGTAGGAGTTGCTGACATATCACAAAACTATGTGGAGTGTTAAGGGTTAAAAAACAGCGCGTGTATCTCTCAAAACTCATCAGTTACTAATTCCTCAATAAAACTCTCGAATCCTCTTCCTTCTCGCCGGTCCACGCGTCCTTTAAGGATCTCCGTCAGCTCTAGTTCTCATCGACGTCTCTCTCCGTCTATCCGACGTCCGGTCGGTCCCCGAGAATTCAAAACCGCGCGTCGCTCGCGTGTCGCGCAGAGTTCTCGCGGAGAACTCATCGGTTGCTAATTGCCGGTCGCATACCGCAATCGAGCCAGCCCAGCCTCCGGCGTTACGTATCGTGTGACGGTTAACTCGCATGACGCGCACACGTAAACGACTGAGCGGCCGTCGGTCACGCGTCGTTGTTTTCAAGGTAAATCGGAAAATTCTGCGTCTCGCCCGCTCGCTGGCGAACGCCGCCGAGCAATCTCGATGTCAACAATTCCGATTCGAACCGTTCGAGTCAGAGATCCTCGAGTAAAACGAAACACAGAAATCTAGAGCGACACTGCGACACAGGAGGGTAAAACGATTCACTCGAAACCAGGACGAAGGGACCCACGGAAACGTCGAGAAAACGTGGTGGCCGAACAGCTGGGCGTCGCGGGGGTGGGCGAAGATCGAGTAGGAGCAGGAAAAACCGAAGAGGACGAGAAGTATGGAATATCGATCCGTCTGGGAGCCGCAGCTGCGAAGGTGGAAGGAAAACTCGCTGCGGGGGTTGAAGCCAGGTTGAAGCCAGGGCGAAGCAGGGGTGCACAGGGAATCGGTCGCAAGACCGGTTCAATGGCGATTGGTACTTACGCGGCACGGTGCGATCGGTGGATCCGCGAAACGTCTTTCGACTCGACTGATCACGTATCGACGGACACGTAGATCGCGAGGGACGCGGGGCAGGAGGAGCGACGCGACATTGAGACCAGCGTTTCCGTGTTCTCGCGATGCTCGCGAGCGATTCTCATATGCCAGCGTCTTTTGTTCCTTCGAATTCGGAGCACAGCGACGAACGCGATCGACAGCGGCGGCGGCAGCGACGAGGACGTCGACGACGATGACGATGCGGACGACGTGGATGGCGGTGCCGACGTCGACGACTCCGCCCACCGTTTCACTCGCGTCTCGACGAACTGCGAGCCGAACTATGCACGTTGCACGATGCAGGATGCACGATGCACGGTGCACGATACGCGCTGGCACACACGGAACACGCGACCCCTTCACGGGGGTGCGATTTCCATCCGGGGAATCGATTTTCTTGGCCTGCCATCCCTCGGAGCTTTCTATCGTCGCACCCGACGGCCGCCGCCTGCGTCGACGTCGACGCCGGAGCTGCGTCGACGTCGATAACGCTGGCCGCACGCTCTCGAGTTCTCGACGGATAATAGACTTTGAGTTTCGTTGGAGGGTGGGTTTTTTGAGGAACTCGCTTGGGTTGTTTGGTTTTGCATGGAGAATTTCGTGATTGTTGTTGTTTGTTTGTGTTCTTTTATGGGGAATTTAGGGACGAATATTAAGTTTATGGAATGAAGTAATAAGTGGATGGATGATTTCTTGATTGTTGTTGTTTGTTTGTGGTTTTTTATAGAGAATATAAGGACGAATATTAAGTTCACGAAATGAAATATTAAGTGGATGGAAAATTTCTTGATTGTTGTTGTTTGTTTGTGTTTTTTTATAGAGAATTCGGTGGCGTTGTGAACCGGTTCGATGGAACGAACTTTGACCTGCTCGTAATGTTTGAACTTTTCGAAATGCAGTAAGAAATAATCAAAGAAACTTCAGTAAAAAGTTCAAAGGTGACTCTCAATCACTTATGAAATTAAGGGAACGATTAGAATGTCATTGTTTCTGTTTATAGGGGCAGATTACAAAATCCAAAGAAACTTTCGAAAATGCAGTAAGAAATATTCAAAAAACTTCAGTAAAAAGTTCATACATGATTCAAAGTCGCATCGCGGTTCAATTAGGGTTAATAAAGTTCGATGGAGGTTTCGCTTCATCGATCCTCTCCGTTTGGCAGATCGTTCGGTTACGTAAACTGCGACGATGAGTTACGAAAGGTTAACCCTCGCATTTCGAGTCATGGTCATTTCTGGACATTTTCAAACGGACCGTTAATTAACCCTGGGAACGATGGTGTCAAGTAGTAGACGCTTGTCATCTGTTCGAGTCGATTTACTCGATAATAGCGAGACGGTTACTATTTTTCTATCATTTTCTCTATTCTCGTTGTAATGTCTTAAGAAACTTCTACATTAATTCTATAACAAAAGTTCGATTAATTAACCCTTTGAACTCTGTGGGCTCCAATATTCCATCGCGAACGCATAATACGATAATAACAATAACGTTGCCCTCAAAAGTCCTAAAATAATCTACGATTAGAACCTTGGGATCTATACGAAAATATTCCTAATATATTAACGGCGTATCGGCTGTTAATTAAAGCTAAATGACGCACGCGTCACGACGGTTGCGTGTCGTCGGGGCCATTGCAACGTGCTATCCCTGTAACTAGTGCGACATGGATAGATTCTTTTTTTCTTTTATTGAAGCCTTATTTTTTATTAGAACCTTTTATGGTCTATTTCCCTGCGTACGCGGTGACATCTTATTACCAGTGTGGGAATGGATGCATCTAACGTGACTGTGTGTGTGTGAGCACGTTTTGAATAAAAGTTAAATTATAATAATTAATATAATTATTCAATTATTAATTATTCTATCTTTCGTTCGAAGCATTGGAATATTCTAGATTATATTGATTTCCTCTATATGTTAATAATGTTCGTTTTTATGAATCTAGAATATTCCAAATATACGCGAAGTTAACGCATGGTAATGAAAGGATGTTCTATAAATAATTTATTTTATTATTTATTATCTTCACTTATTTTTTCTATTCTATTTTATTTCTAAATTCTTTATTTTTTTATTGTGACTTGTCAAGAAATAATTATACTGTTTCCAATAAAACTCTCTTTCTCCTACACTAACAAGTTATTTTTACTGGTATCTCCTTTCTCTTAGTCCTCAGACATTATTCAAAGAGTTCGGTTTTATTTTTGTGTTCGTTCTATCTTGTCGGTTTCCTTCCAGAATCTATCTATTATTTTTAAAAATAGTAGCTTTTTGCGGCAGGCGAAAGTGTCGCCATCTAGCGGCGGGAAGCTAGCGGAGTTTCTCCCTATACCCGCAATGTGTAAGACAAGGACAGAGACAGTGTGCGACAAGGACAGAGACAGTCGCCGCGGCGCCACCTGCTAGGAAAAAGCATCTCATCGGTCCCTGGTACCTACTCGTGAAGCATCAGGACCGAGGAGGTCATCGAAGTGGCGCCATCTAGCGGCGAAAGCTGCGAACTACGAGCGACAAGAAGAAACAACGAGACCAACTGCGAATTCACTAATAACTCGACTTCCACGAATGATTCGCTGATGTTTGCGATTTATAATGGTAGAATAGACTTTCCTTTATATTCTAATATCGTCATCGATAGGATTCTGTTAGGCGTTCGTTAGTTATTAATTATTTTTCGGGACGATGTCGGGAGATGCTCGAACCTCTTCTGTCGGAGGTCGGGAGAATTATTAAGGTTCTCGTTTAATAGAAATAATTGGTGAATGTTTGTGATCGGAGAAATTAGAGGAGACCTCTGGCAGTGTTTCTATAACGGTTTCGATTACATTTGAGTTGTAATTAATGAGTAATCAGCGATTTTCGGATGGGTTCGTTGGGTTTCGTGAGAGCAATGAGTAAGACAAGGAGAGACATATGTGTGCGACAAGGACAGAGATAGTTGCTCACCAGCGCCATCTATTGGGAGATTATCTAAACTTCTCGCCGAATAGTACCAGCTTGTCTCCGCAAGATGGCGCCATTGATCTACTATCTCTGTCCTTCTCACTCCTATACATCCAACCTTGTCTCTCTCACGGCGTACTCGTATAGCAACGAACCCATCCGAAAACCACTGATAACTTATCAATTACAACTCGAATCCGACGAACACTACCACCAGAATATTCCTAAGGGTCCCCCCTAATTTCTACAATTACAAACGTTCACAAATTACGCCTTTCAACTGAGAATCTTAACGATACTCTCGTCGCGTGTCAAAAAATTCTATGTTACCGCCGAACACGGCCCCGAATAACGACTAATAAATAACGAACGCGAAACAGAATCCTATCGAAGACGACACTGGAAAGTAAAGGAAAGTCTATTCTACGATTCTGAATCGCAAACATCAGCGAATCATTCGTGGAAGTCGAGTTATTAGCGAATTCGCGGATGATCTCGTTGTTTCTTCTTGTCGCTCGTAGTTCGCCGCTTTCGCCGCTAGATGGCGGCGCATCGATGACCTCCTCGGTCCTGATGCTTCACGAGTAGGTACCAGGGACCGATGAGATGCTTTTTCCTAGCAGGTGGCGCCGCGGCGACTATCTCTGTCCTTGTCGCACACTATCTCCGTCCTTGTCTTACACATTGCGGGTATAGGGAGAAACTCCGCTAGCTTCCCGCCGCTAGATGGCGACACTGTCGCCGCCTACCTAAATTCTCTATCCTTGTCGCACACTGGTGCTGTCCTTGTCTTACTCATTACCAGGATAGGAAACGCTCGATTTTGCAAGTGGAAGCGGCTGCACGACACAGACAGCCACTTTCTGACTAGCGCGAAGCCTTTTCCTCTGACGATTGATAGCTTCACCGGGAGACATGAATTTAGTTTCAGTCGAGACTTTTTGAAACTTATGAGGACTTGTCGAAAATGTCGAGTTATGTATCGAAGTTTTAAACAACAATTATTCGAATAATTAAATTATTCATTTGCAGCTTTCGAATTTAGATGAAGCTGGAGTCGCCATTATGGCATTCGATCGCAAAGGGTTAATATAACGTTAGGAACATCTTCTTGTGAATTTTAACATTGCATTAACATTGCAACTTTTCGACCACCGGATGGGTGAAAATGACGCGTTCCTAAATTCTTTAGCAATTATCCACAAAATAACAGATTCTTTAAGAAACTTTTAAAGAAATTTAGTAACACGCGAATCGAGTCTCGATATACACACTTGGGCTTGTATAAATAAATTTTCAAAAGTCAAGCTTCCTGCTCCGCAGTTTAGTATTAATAAAATAATGATAATCATTGTATACAATCTTCAACGTTGCGCCTCGTGTCGTAACGTCTAACGGAGCTGTCTGATGAGGACAAACCGATGCTCGTTCGCCTATCTCGCTATAAGCTCGCGTATATAGTTCCATACGATGGAAAAGGAGTTCTAACGAACGCGGAGAGTAAGCTGTGCAAGGAATAGAGAAAGGCCAGGCGGAGAAAAGGGTTTCGATGTAATTCGCTGCTCGTGATGGTCATCGATCGCATTCTCTCATTCTTTGCCTTCGTCCTCTCTCTCTCTCTCTCTCCCTGTTTCTCTCGTTTGAGTGAAGTGTAGGTTAATGAGACAATAAAACACAATTGACACCCACGTTTTACATTCGCGAAGTATCAAAATCTGGTATTTATTCGTATTTTTTATACAGCGGTTGTACGGTCTACCTTTCGGAGTAACGCGTCGGCGGTGCTCCAGTTAATAGTGGAATCTCGAGATGCCGTTTTTCTACAATCGAAAGTCGCATGCCGCGCGCCGAATGCTCCAAAAATGATTAAACGCCGTCCGCCGCGTTCCAAAGAAATCGCGTTCGGACAAATCAATCGAAAACGTGGTGACGAAGTCGCTACACTCTCTCTTTCTCTCGCTGCAATCGACGCATCTAGTTTCAT